GAAGCAGCATCTTTGGTGGAACATCAGCAAGACTAAGTCAACATCCGATGCAGGAGAAATCCGGAAGGATTGTATCCGTAATTAAGTTGGCAATAACATTAGGCTATACTTATCGCCCGCAACAACATTATTACTTCTCAATTAATAACATCATGCAGATAACTTGTAGGTATGATGAAGTGATAAAATTTTATTTTCTACTTCAAATAACTAGAGACCACTTATTGACCAGCAATTTTTGAAATGATTTAAAAGTTATTGTTATGAAAAGATTATTATTTGTTGTGGTAATAGCGTCATAATTAACAGCCAAAATATTGTAGATATATTTTGCTTGGTTACTAAAAATACTATAGCAAAATTTCTGCTTGTAAAATGGCCACCAGTTCTTCAATCCTGCAAAGCGCTTTTGCATTTATTTTAGTTAGTCACGGACTTGGGAATTACACAATGCGAAAGGTGGAGATTTATAGCTCACATTGAGCGAATCTTTAGTGAATCAGAAGAGGAAAGTTGATAAATTGTCAAACATCTAATTCTCTTAGTGCATTAGGTTTGGTTCTTAGTAAGCTTTCTTTTACTTCCACTATTTGGAACCCAAGTTATAACGTAGACAGAATACGCTTGGAAGGAATGCAAAATGGATTTTTTTATACTCGCTTCTGTAACATATCTGATTTTACACCGGAAAGTGTCTCTTTACCAGGTGAGTTTCGTGTCCCACGAATCCGACTCAGGACCTTTCCAAGATACTGCCGCACGGGAATTTTGACGTTTGTCCATTCTGACGGTCGTGTCAGTGAATGTATTCATGTTGTTTTGCAACAATGTACCCAAAAACTAACAGTTGTAGAAAAAATATAGTCTGTAACACGTTTGATAAACTTTTGAAGCCACTCGTTTATTAAACACTCGCTCCGCTGCGCTGCGCTCAAGCCAAATAAACTCGTAACTCAAATACCGTTTACCACACTTATCACACAATATACTATTAAGATATGCATTGTATTAATAGTATATTATGCAACGAGTGCGGTAAACTGCATTTGACTCACGAGTTTATTTGACACGCGCGGAGCGAGTGTTTACTAAACGAGTGACTTAAAAAGTTTACCAAACATATTCCATACTGTAATTCTTGTATGACCGTCAGCTTTTGGGTAAATTTTTGCAAAACAACACAAATGCATTCACTGATATGACTGTCAGAATTGACAAACGTCAAAATTCAAGCCGTTCGGTAAAATTTCCGAAAACATCCCGGTAATGCCCGAATTGACTGGCATCGGTGGGACAAGAAACTCACGTGGTAAAGTGAGTATTTTACAGAAAGGAGTAGAAAAAAATTACAATCATTGAGAATTATAATCACAGTTTTAGGTTTAAAATACAAAATGAATGAAAACTATTGCATTACCCACCCGGATGTGTCTATAAAAATCCTGACCGCGACTCTAAATACCAAATGTGTCAAATTGAAGAAAATATGGACTTGTCTAAATAAAGACAAGTGGGCAACCACTTCAAAAGGGAGGTGTTTATTTCCTATTTTTGTATTGATTGTCATTTGTTGAATCAAACATATTTTATGCACTTAACTTATTTTATTATTATTATTATTATTATTATTTTTTAGTTTATTTTTAAGATTTTACATCTTCAGAACAAGTTATCGCTGGCAGATCTGTTAGTATTGTACAGGATTCTAGACTGTCGAGTTAACTGTTCTTAGTTTTTATTAAAAATTAAACTGCACCTAAAAAATCTTAATTTGTTACACTGATTTATAACTTTCCCTAGTAGTTATCTTTTGTCGTTTGAGTTTACTTTCCTCATTGAAATGTTTGTTAATCTTAAGCTTTTTTTTGGTACTTGAGACTTGCTTTTTAATATTTTTAGTTCTTCGTATTGCATGCAACTAAAATTGACAATAAATAAACATATAATACCATATTATGCAACAAGTGTGGTAAACGGCATTTGAGTCACGAGTTTATTTGACACGAGCGGAGCGCAACGGAACGAGTGTTTAATAAACGAGGGACTTCAAAAGTTTATCAAACGTGTTACATACTATACTTTTTCTACAACCGTTAGTTTTTGCTCGATTGCTCCCAAACCCGTGCGGTAAAATCCCGGAAATGTCCGAAATGGCCCGGATCCCTGAGAAACGAAACTGACGTGGTAAAGTGACGCTTCCCGCACGCTAGATCGATGTGTAATTAGGTATTTTAGAGACGGGAGTGGAAAAATAAATAAATATGTTTGATAATTAATGCAGTGCAAATTAACTCATTAAATATTGAATAAAAATATTATTAAACACACCAATATATTTTTTAAGTCAGTACTATTATTTTGCGTTGTATTAGAGACTTCCATCGTCTGCTAGTTTTGTAAGGAAGGCCAGTAACATGATATATTTTATTTTAAGTTTCTCAGTTTTTAACCCAATTTCACCTTTTGCTCTAAATTCAATGAATTTTAAGCTGATGCAAACGTTATCATTCCTTCAAAGTGTATTAAAAACATATTATTAAATCAAAATCATTGCGTATTGTAATTAACTTTTGTACATCTAGCTAGATAATGTCAAATTACTTTATTGGAGTTTATAGATTAGTTTTCAAGTCGTACAGCTTCTAGGCCGCTTCCAACGCGAATTGTTCGAGAGTGTCGCGTTTCTTTGACTATCCATATCTCTCGCTGGCTGGCGATTTTATCGTTTGTCATTTCAGATTACGCCTCCGAGCCCTATCAGCCGGGCACGGGCACCACGTCCGCCATAGTTATACCCACGGCCGCTTTACGGCGATAATGGCTTTATAACTGTCGTAAAAATTAATCCCGGCCCGGGCGCCCATTCACGGCGAACTCCCCCACCACCCCCCCGACCGACACGTTGCAAACTCGCGAAACGCAGGGCGTCGCCGCCGCCGCACAGAGGGCAATTAAGTCATACTAGGTTGATTACGGCAACTTTACAAAAGATGAGGTTTGATATCAAAGTATTATAAGAGACACCTGACTTAAAACTGATTTTTCACAAAAAAAAAACCCAATGTACGTAGAGAAATAAATTTGGGTAGGTGGAAGGCCACGAAAAATATCTTTTTTGAACGCTCTCAAACCAAAAACTAATATTTCAAAACCTAGCATTTTAATTTGATGTTTTGAATTTTATAAGCATTAGTAAGTGTAGTAATTTTCTTATACGCTGCTATGGTAACTACCAAAGAATGAAGCCCAATCTGCTTAGGAGAAAAAACCGGAAGTACCGCAAGGTACCAAAATAAAAGCAGTGTTTTTTAATAATAATAATAAGAATAATAATAATAATAAATAAAACGTTGATTAACCACTTATTTCTGTTACAATATAAATAATATTACAATGTAATTACAGTTGGGTGCATTAGGTGCTGTTGAAGCAAAAAAAATCATTTGAATACAAATACTATTACTATACATACAATATAAATAAATTGAAGGGTTAATACATTTGTATCTAAATCACAAAACGTATAACGTAATTCCTAGTTTTGGTTAGTTTTAGTTAATATTTTTCTAACGGAAGGGGAATGCTTCGAGAGGAAAAAGGAAAAATTACATATTTTAATATACCTGTGGAGTAAAAAAGCTCTGATCATAAATTTAATCTTGCTTTGCTGCCATTTTTGCTATACAGTGTGTTTTGATGACTTCATGGAACTCTGTAGGGAAATACTCTGTTTGCATTTTTTTTGGGTGTACGTCAATTTAAAAAATATAATATATCGAAACAATTTTTCTTTTTTTGTATATCAGTTAAAAATTAACCGTGGAGTAAGGTAAAACAATGAAACTTCAACGAATGAAGTAAAACAAAGGAAACAGGAAATACAAGGAAAAATGACAGAAAAAATGGATGTAATTGTTAATATGCCCAAGTTAAATCTTGGAAACACTGATTTAGATCTAACCCAAAATAACACACGAGTGCAGATATAACATGTTTGAACAAAAATTTGGTTTTGTAGAGGCATTGAAAAAGTTTGAGAAATATTCAGAAGAAACAAGAAAATTATATTTAGATTTGCCCTCCTGGTATGCCAGTCACCGTCCACAACCGTTTAGGCCTTATAGTGCAGATATAATTAACAACGGTATTATGGCAATGGGAGGAAGCCCAAGAAGCATGCGGAAACTTTTCGAACTTCCTCTAATAACGATCTATCATCTACATAGTCAACCGTTATAGACAAGCTACATCAAAATACAGAATCCTGATATTTTGAAATTAATAACGTGATTTATAGAGTCCGTCCTCACAGTCAGCTATAGTCCGAATTAGCAGTAAAATTGCTAATAATAAGGTCCCTTTTTATATTATACACTAATATTTTAGGCGGAGAGCAATGTTGTTCTTTTAGTTATTTTTTTTATTAAAGTACATTTTCAATTTTATTTCCATCAATTTTTAACCCAGTTCTGTCTCTTTTGTTACACCCTGTATGTGATCTTAGAAAAACATAAAAAATTAGATATTAATACGCGATTTTAAAATCACTTAAATGCTATACTTTCTATGTAGAAGCATATAATAATATTCATTATATGTACCAATCTGAAATAACAACCTGCATATTAATAATCGTTTCATTGGAGTACTAGTTAAACACGAAAATATTCAGTTAAAAACAAAATTGCAATATAATTAGGTAATTATGGAAAGTTTATTCTAAAAAAAATGTCCACCCAGTTCTACCACCGAGTCCAATGTGCGGCCGTCCGAAGGACCAAAAAATAAAATTCGAAAACACACGCACGCAGCAGCGTACACAACAAAATGGTAAGCGCGTTCCCTGTCGGACCGAACGTGGAATCGGTCGCGGTCGTCCGTCTCCGCGTGACGTCGATACGAAAGCGACCGTTCCATTGGTCATGGGCGGGGTTAGAGTCAGGCGGGTCGAAGTCGCCGCTCGGCACTTTAGATCGGCTAGTACATCCGAAATGCTTTGAATGCCAACACGTCGCCGATCCGTACGCGATTTTCGCCCCCATTTGATCAAATTTCGCGGTTTTTTTTTGTGGTACCGGGTGCGGGACCGTCGCCGGGACGCGTCGTACGAGTTTCGCGAAGATCCGACCCCGGGAACCGGTCCGAATCGCCCGGTGAATCCGACGATATTTTAACATTATATCGGTGTGTATGTAGGCGACGCGGTGTTGCCGGATCGCGCGCGCGCTAGTCGAACTCGCGTCGCCGTTGCCGATAGATGTTTTTTAACGCGGCGACGTTGCCGTGACGGCTCCGAGAGGTAAGAGCGCGCATTTTTTGTGTCAATGCACTCTTTTTACCTTGTCTAGTAGTACCGGTAGCGGCGGGTACGCGCCGATCCCTTTTTTACAGTTCGCAGAGGGCGTTGCCGTGCGTCGCTGTAAATTTCGGAAATGCGAACTCGTTTAAGGGTTGGGGGGGGGGCGAGGAAATGGTGACCAAGATACCAATGGTGGCAAAGGTACGACGGTGAAAAGTCGCGACCACCCAAAGCCGTTTGGAAGCAGCAGCGCGTCATGAACCTCTTGAAAGCTATCGCACGTTTTCGATCGTCCGTGTACGTAAACGCGGACGAAATAAACAATTGCCGGCTCTCTGCCTCACGAAATAACAAGCGACGATCGCAATAAATAAGTCACGTCCCGTCCTTGTCTGGCTCACGCGGCGTAGGGCAACTCTTTGTTTACCGATCACGAGGCGCAGCCGTTTTCTTTTTTTAGACGCTCGTCCCGTCTCGCTCCCGCAAATTACAAGTTCTCCGCGGCGCAGCGTTGCCGCTGCCGCGTACCCTCTCTTACCCTCTGCCCGTCTCTCCTTCTCTTTAGGCATGCTAGGACCTCGGGGATTATCTATCCGAGGGATTGTGTAGTCCGGTCGAATACGCTAGATGTAGATAAATTGCGAAACCTCCACGTGTTGGATTTGATGTTTCTCAGTTGCCGTCCTGAACATTAGTTTTTAATTGATTTATTTGCTTTCAATGATGTCTCTTGTTAGAAGAGAGGCCTGAGATCTCAGGGGAGCTGGCGTCTTCCTATTCTTCTGCAAACCTTAGATCCGAGGCGAATTGGCGTTTTTTCGTTGAATGTTAAGTGGTTTATTATCTGTCGTTGTCATTCGTAATCTAATATTGAGGGGGCTTAGCTCTAAGCGCGCTCATTGTGCTCTTAATCATATAGAAAACGGTCGGCCATTCATCAAACCCAGTGATTTCACATCGTAATATGCAACACTTCTTCAGGAGAATTGGTGTTTTTTTCTTGGTATTTGACAAACAAACAAACCAATATGTCTGAGCTGCCCCATTGTGATTGCTTCTCTAGAAAACGCTCAGCCCTCCAGAAAACCCGGTTCATCACATTTACCGTCTCTTCTGCATAACGGTTTTGTTTCTTTTCGAAGTTTGGATTTTTTTTATTTAGTTTTCTACGCTGCAATACGAATACAGCCTTTGTTTTTCGTTGATGCTTAGCTTGGTGGTTCCAGAAATCACGAAATATGCCCTTTTATTTTCATTTTTGACGTTAGAACTAAAATATTCGACTTTGATTTTGCTGCGGATCATTTCCTCTTACGTGGAATTAGAATTTAGAAGCAAACAACGTGCACGGACGCTATACAGTTGCGTTCTCTTCCCAGCTGAAACGTGTGGTCGTCTTTTCGTCTAGCTTCGTCTGACATACTGGAAACAACGCTGAATTTACAGCCAAAACTTAACTAACTACTCTAAAATTTATTTATTTTCCACGGCAGGTTGGAGTTTTCCATTATTGATATAGTCGAAGATATAAAGATTTGATGAACGCAAGAAAATCCTCTACCGCTGTTGCGATTGGATCGTTCTTTTGTTACGTTGTATAGAAGTTGTTAAGCGACTACTGATTGATAGGATACACTTGTATATTTTAGGTAGGAAGAAATCACCATCGATGCTGGCTGGAGTTTATTTTTGGAAAAAATAATATATGCCTTTCATTTAATTACGCGGCAATTGCATTAGCAGACATTTGTACCAACTGCAAGTGCCAGATGCAGATCATTAGCAATTTGTGCCATATTTGCTGAATTACGTGTTTTGTATTTATAAAACGATAATAGTAAAAGAGCTAGATATTATATGACTTTTAATATTCGCCAATTCTAACTGACTTATTTCTATTGATCTGGGTTCCTTCTACATCAGTCGTTGATGAGTCGAACTGCTGACTTTTCGCTGAGCATCCTGTTCTTATTTAGAGCTTAGCTGAAATTGGAAATTGGTAAATTGTATTACAGTAATCCTGTCGAAATTTCTTAACAGCCATAACAAAATCATATTTGTTTGCCACTTTTGATATATCTTGTATTCGAAGATTAATGATTTTGATGATTCCCATCGCAAACGACTGGACTATAGCTACGGTTCCGCAACGCTGTCCCTTTCTACGCTATAGCGGTATGCGAGCACGGAGGGGGACGAACGGCGTAAAAAATAATTTCGCCGGGGGACGACGTCGAGGCAGAGGGTTTGGATTTATAACATCCACGCTCTCTAATTAGAAGAAGAGTGACGACGCCAAGTGTTTTCGATAAATAACTCTCTCCTCGTCGTCGCCGCGCGTATTTGTTTTAACCGAGACCCTGTTTGGTTTACTAATGTAATGATGGTGTGTTTGTTTACAGAGTTAGCGTGCGTGGAAAAAACCGGGTTTTCCTATACCGCCGCCACTTGTTCGACTGTGACGGTTACGTCAAAACGCGTAGGTCTAATGGGCTAGAAAATGAGGTTTTAGTGGTTGACGTTGTACTTGAACTAGAGCAAAACTTTTGTCAACACGTTAAATTAAAAGACGTCGTGTGCAAAATTAGATATTTGAAACGCACAAATTGTGAGATACACGTTTGAACTGCGTTCTAATACACCAATGAGTGTTGAGAAATACAAAATATTTATTAATATCAACTACGTTGCAAATACTATAACTACAAAAGATTGTTCGCAGATTATTTAAAATTCAGAAGCAGCAAGGGGCAAAATGAATGAACAAGATTTGAGTGAGACTCAGCCCCTTAGAAACCAAAACCACCGATGAAGGTTTCTTGAAGACCGAGATATGGGCCCGACAAATTTACGCAATCATTTTGAGTCTTTCATCAGTTCTGCGTAGCCATGCAGGCTATTTTCGGCGTATAACAGCTCTATTTTAGACCTACTTTCCTTCATGCTGGCTTCCAGGTCATCATATATCGTCTGAATAGAGCCCGGACCCAGCCCACACTTCGTAACAGAAAATTCGGACATATCGTCGTCTTTCTAAAAGTTGCTGTCTTCGAAAAGTTTAATAGGAATAGCAAGAAAGGTGCTTTACATACACAATTCTCATCACAAAGCAGCATAACTTCCTTTCTTTCTTTCACAATATGTCATTTTGGAAACGGTTGGACGAGATACATGCAGACTGAGAGAAAATTGCCTGCCATATTGTGTGGATGTAACAAAGTTCATTATTATCCTCTCCTTATTGTGGAGACTGACGCACTTTTTCGGTGTTGGAAGAAATGGAATAGAATTTAAAATTAAGGTATAACAGGACTAGAGCAACAGAACATAGATCGTAGCTATAGATATTTCACCAAATTTTAAAAAGATATGATTGATCGAAAAAATGCATTTTTTTTACCAATGAAAATAAATGCATGTTTTAAGTCTAGACTGTCGAGTGGGACAAGCCAAGCTTTGCATCTAAAGTTTCTCATTTTTAGAACTTGACAAACAAAGCTTTACCAAAGAAACCTAATATTCACAGAGGCCAATCATCCCTCAAACCATATTAGATGGAATTTAAAGAGACAAACGAAGCTTTTGCATTTTCATTTATAAAACTTTACAAGCCAAGCCTGGCCGAAAAAACGTATAAATACTTAGTGATAGAGGTTATTTCGAATAAAATAAATCCGAATCGACATTTAAATTGGGATGTACATTGACAAAAAGTGAGAAACACCCTTTTCGTTCGTTCGTTGTAAAAAACAGTTCAAATCCGGCTCGAAGGACCAACAAAATGTTCTTAACTTCTTTCGATTGCTCAGAAAAGGGACAAAAATGAACTCGCAATAATGCAAAAATTTAAGAATAGAGAAAACGCTTCCTTTAAATCCTTTACCTTGATGGTCTGCGGATGAAACGGGGGAAGCGCTCCCTTCTTGTTCAATTACTTGTTTCTCAATTTGAGATAAAAAATTCATGGCATTGACTTCACACTGTGGATCGCGAATTTTGTTGACGCGTTGATTTGCGTGAGGAAATTTAAAGGAGAACGTACTCGCGTTTTGAATTGAAACGTATCTGAGCTATTGAAAGTAGTCTGGAGTAATTTATAAATTCAGATAAAGTCAAGAAATTAAAGAAATAAGCAAGAGGTAGGACTAGAGGTAGTCTTGGTATTGATAATTTTGTAAGCTATTTCGTTGAATGAATGGCCGTCAATCAAATAGATTGTCTTTAGCAGATCGCTGAAAGAATGTTTTTTATAAAACATGCGATTTATTTTGACCCGCAAAAATATAATCATCAGGGCTCTTTCCCAATTTAATTTAGATTAACGCTTAAGTCGCCGTTAACGATCTATACGCGTTAACGACAGTCACAGAAGTAATTGGTTCCGTTATAAAGCACCTGATTATCTAATTCGAACTGAGGGGTGCATCGTATGAAAGGATGTTGAGTGCTCTCAGAGACGGCGGGGGAGGTTCGATATAGGGGGACGGCATTTGATAATGACATGCGCCCGGTTAAAACACGCATTTAACACAAAGGTATAGACTTTGGACTCTCGAATCGTGGGCTTTGCGAATGCGATACGTTAAACTCGTATCGTATATCGACGAACGCTTTGATTCGGACCGCTGTTTATTCTATAATCAACATGAAACGGTAAACGGTTCGAGTGTCGATATTATTCGATACCGGCGATTAGGAGAAACAATCAGGTTGTGTACGTTTCGAGATAAAATCGCGTAAAATCTGCCGCTGTCAATTAAAACGAGTGACGAAAATGAGTTCGACATGCACATATAACATTTAACAATATTAAAAAAAACGGAGACTACGATAATAACATAAAATCAATCATTCCGAAGAAAGGACCTAAAATAACTTATTCTATCTATTCTTCAATATTTGAAAACAAGAAAGATGAGAAGGTTAATAACAAAAACTATCGGCGAAACACCAAATGTTACTTACTGTTACTTAAAGCCACCCACCCAATCCATTATCAA